TCCCCTTATCCATGTACAATATGGCTGACCCTCAATGGAGTTTATGCCTCAGTGTCCTCTTCACCAGGATGGCCAGTGAAGCTTTCACTATAAATATGAGGCCCAAAGGAGAAGGCAGAGGTGATTGAACCAATATCTGTTCCTGTGAAATAGAAAATTCAACTTGATTTTAAGTTTCATTGCCTCCAGGAAAAACAGATTCACCAACTGCTGGAGAATTTTGAACACGGAAGGAAAGAAAATGCCCTGGCAACGTGTGACTCGGACAGCTGCAAATATAGACGACACGAATGCCTGACTGAAGGGCCTGGGGACTCCCTAGGAGAAGCCCCTGGAAAGGGGGCTGGTAACAGTGCTTAAGGCTGAGGTAACGTAGACCGAATCTCCACAGGGGCGGGAATCCCCTCTGTTTGCACTTTCCATGGTATCCCCAGCAGCTGGTACAGATGATGCTCAAGAAAATATTTTGGTGGTCGTGGGGGGTGCCTGAGTGGCTCAGTCGGTTGAGTGTCCGACTCTTGATTTCGACTCATGATCTCAGGGACATGAGATTGAGCGCCACGTCAGGCTCCTGGCTCAGCAGGGAGTCCGCTTGAGATTCTCTCTCTCCCTCTGCCCCTCCCCCTTCTCTAAAATAAATAAATAAATCTTTAAAAAAAAAAACCTTAAGAATATTTTGGGAAAAGTAATATAAGAATAGCACCAGAAATCCTCGTGGTGGGATTGTTCTATATTTTGACTGTGGTGACCACACAACTCACACATGGTAACATCTCATAGAGCTAAATATGCAAATGAGTACATATAAAACTGATGAAATCTCAATAAGGTTGGTAGATGTATCAATATCGAACTGTTACCATTGGAGGAAACTGGGTGTAGAGTATTGGGAGCTCTGTATTATTTCTTACAACTGCACATGGATCGACAGCGACCTCCCAATAAAAAGTAGTAATGTGAAAAAAAAGTAGTAATGTGAGAGTAAAAACAATCTCAGGTGACAGCAATCCCAAATGTAGTAGAATGTGAGTCAAGATAGACTGGCTTTGAAAAGCTAAACCCTGTTTTTTTTTTTTTCCCAAGTTTTTTTTTTAAATTCCAGTCAGTTAACATAAGGTAAACCCTGTTTAAAAGGGAGAGGGCCCTGAGGGAGGAGACATACCAGTCCAAAAGACAGACACATGGATGGAAATCTAAAGGTGGAAGCTCCCCAGAAGGGGAGAAAGAGAAATGGAGAGCTGTGAGTTTAGTGCTAGAAATGCATGATGGATCCCAAAATACAAATCACCAAATTGGGACCAATGCCATGTAGAGTGAAGGGGGCTTCGGTGACCTGAACATCTGTTGGACATCATATTTGGCAGAGCCTCTGTGAAGATTCTGGCTGGCCTTGCTGATGCTTTTCATTCCCAAACTGGGGTTTGGCCAACCATACAAATGTCCAGATGTGTCTACATCTGTCACTATGTGGAACTTGTAACATACAGGGACTTTATTTCCTCTTTTCTAGAGCTAAACTCCAACCAGGTTTGGGTCCTAACTCTTGGCTTTTATCAATCTATGTTTAACCGTACGGGAACACTACCATTCCCTCACCCACCACCTCCCATCCATCACCAAGTGACTCCTAAGCATTTTTAGATCAGTTTGCATGTCTCCAACTTCACTGCCACTTGGTTACAGCAAGCCCTGATCCTTCCCCTGGACACATGGAGCGGTCTCTTCACTCCAATTCCTCCCCCACTGACAGCCCAAGCCATCTTTTCAAAACAGAAATCCCATCGTGTTGCCCCCCTGCTTTGCAGCCTTCCGTGGTTAAGGACGGCTTGGTCTGCAAACCCTGGCAAATCTGGCTCTAGTTACCTTTACCTGCTCCAGCGAGTGTCCTCCCCCTCCTCCTTAGACTTTGTTCGGCAAGGACGCTAGCTTTCTCACTGAAGGGCCTTTGCATGTGGGGTTTCTTATGCACGCAGTCCAGGTGTTCTCAGCCTTGGCCCTGCTGGCACTCGGGGCCAGACCATTTTCTTTGGGGGGGGCTATCGTGTGCATCGTAGAATGCGCACTTGTAGCATCCTCCTACCCACCGTCCGTCGGGACAGGCACTGCCGGCTGTCACCTGGGGCCCAATCTCCCCTGGGCGGGAACTACTGGCCTAGAGTGAACTCATTCCTCTCTGCCTAGCAAATCTCAGTTCAGAAGCCCCCTTCTCAGGGATCCCCTCCAGGCAAGATCCAGTCTCCCTCGTCTCGCTCCCTCTTTTTTAAAGATTTTATATATTTGACAGAGAGAGACACAGCGAGAGAGGGAACCAAGCAGGGGGAGTGGGAGAGGGAGAAGCAGGCTTCCCGCCGAGCAGGGAGCCCGATGCAGGGCTCGATCCCAGGACCCTGGGATCATACCTGAGCCGAAGGCAGACGCTCAATGACTGAGCCACCCAGGAGCCCCATCCCTCTTCTCTTATTATCTATTTGATAATTATTGTCTCTCACGGTACTATCCCCTACCTGAGGGCAAGGGGTCATGTCCGCTTCCACTCACCACTGTATTCCCAGTGTCTAGGAGAGTATCTGGCACACAGCCAGTACTTAGATGCATTGAATGAGCGAATGAGTGCGTTTAAGGTCAAATCTGTTTGCTGCAAAATCTACACCCTCCTCCAAAAATCCAAACTATTATTTATTGAGGGTCTACTGGGTCAAGTACTTCATGACCATGAGGGAGGCCTTATTATCCCCATTTTACAGGTGAGATACTGAGGCTTAAGCAATGCTAAATGGCTTGCCTATAACATCACAGTGGGAGAACCCAGACCCAAATCTAGGTTTTCTCACCCCAAAGTCTAAGCTGATAGATGTGAATACAGACATGGATGTCCAATGCTTTCCTGCGGGGCTCAGGCTTTTATTCTGTGTGATATTTAAAGTCAGTAATTTGAAATAAATATAAAGACCATGCTTAAGAAATAGGATAGAATCAGAATCCCAAGGAGCCCCATCAAGGCAGCAGGCTAAGTCTAATGATGAAACTTTTAAGAGAACTACTTATAAGATGCATGTCAACAGGGAAGAAATGTAGCAAACAGACAATTACTGCAAAATGCTTTTCAGGATTTTGCCATTTCACCATCAGGGAGGTGCAGGATGAGGATCAGGACTCTGAGATTTCTCAAACTGGAAACTTCCCCCATGTCTGTCTGGACAAACCCCCATCCTACCCCCTATCAGCAATAAAAACATTAAAATAAAATAAGGGGGAACCGGGACACAGCGTCCTGCTTCTGGTGGCCGGTGGAATGTTGGGATAGAATCCCAAGAAATAGAGGGTGGCCGCCACCAAAGGGTGGAGAAAGAAGGAAGAGTGCTCAGCTCTGCAGAGACAGAAGACTGCCTGAAGTATCAATCAAATTAATGACTGTTTTCTCTGGAAAGAAGACAGCCGTGATGGAAATCCCGAGAGATGGAGCGGTGACAGCTAAGGGGATTCCTCCTGCAGGCAAGGGTCCCAGATGTGCGTGTCTTGATTTGACACAAAAGTTTTAGTATCGGTAGAAAAAAAAAATCCTGAAGGAGCTTTCACAAGAAATATTTTTCTTTACTCTCAAAAGGCAAGCACTGTTTTAAAGAAAGAAATTTGCTTTAAAAACAAAAAAGACCAACAAGCCTGTAGTGCATCTGTTATCTGCCGAGCTGAGTACTGTAGGAACATAAATAAGAATAAGACAGCTTCTGCCCCCGAGAGATCTATAAATTGTTACTGTTATTTTGGGACCTTTTAAGAAATGTTTGAAACTTCCTTTTCTGATGTATGTCAAACACCAGGACTTTCTTTCCTGATGTACCTTAAACCATCCTAAGTTACAATTTCTAAATGGCAATTCTACGCAGATCTGCCCCCCAAAATGTGAGTGTAGAGAATTAAATACATCTCATTGTGGATCTGTTCATCCCATTCTCTAAACCTGGATAACTCCAGAGTGCAATCCTATTGCATGGTCCCTGACACCAAAGGGAAGCCACATACCAGAAGGACGAATTGGCCACTTCATTTTAAAGGGAAAGGAAGACAAAGTTCACTAACTCGAAAATCATCTATTAAGAGGGCAACACGCCATTTTTATACCAGTTTGTGTAATAATTTTACTGCATAAGAAATTAGAGAGATTGCATAAATCATTAGGTCAACAGCATATACAGAAGAATAAAACAAAGCAGACATGATTATTCTGATCCAGTAAGACAGGAAAAATTTCAATTCTTAAAATTATCACAAACACCCCAAATGTGGCTCCTTTTAAGAGAAAATTTAGCTCTTGCATTTTCTGGATATAGTAATGACTGTAGTTCCATTAAGCCAAATGGAAAACTGCTTCACAGCTAAAAACATAAAAAAGCAACTTACATAGATATGTAGCCCTCTTAATACTGGATGTAACAAAAAGACATCAGGCTGCCTGCTTTTGCCTAAAGCATGGCTTGAATTTTCTATTAATAATAACAGCTTATACAGAATACAAATACAACATAATTTCCTATGTTATGAAGCTGAAATTGGGAGAATCCAAAAATTATTGCAGGAGTGAGTGTCTTCCAATGGGGAAAAAAGTATATAAATATACTAGATGTTAAAATTTCCTTTCTTCATTCAATTTTTTGCCCTGTTCAAAACATAAGAATACAAATAAATATATGTCCTTACAAGTGAAGTTCCTAGTGCACTGTTTAAAAAAAGATTAAAAAAACAAAAATCTTAATTTACTCTTTCTTGTCATTAAATAAAAATTCTAATATACAGACACATTCGATATTTATATAAATTGTAGGAGTCAGTTTGTCATTTCTTGCTCACGACTGACATACAATAGTGTTAGTCTCTATACAACATGGCTCACACCCCAGATGCAGGTTTCATCCTACTGCAAGTCGCTCCAGAGAATTTTTTTTCTTTTTTTTTTTAATTAAAAAAGATTTCATTCTTGGAATTTTAGAATTTACATTTGAGTCGTCTGAAAAAATACAATTTCAATGCAAAAACCACATCAAGCTTTCAAGAGTATACTGCTGGTGCTGTAATCTTTTTGCATGTCTTTGTTTTCACAGAAAAAAAAAAACAGAATAAAAAAAACAACATGTAAGACTTTTAAATGGTTAAACATAACCACATAATATTAATGATATGCCTCATGCACACAAACAAAAAATGCAAGAAAAAAGGATCAGACGTCTTTCTTTTGCATTTGTTCCAGCTTTCTTCTTAACAGACCATAATTCTCCTTAGTTCCTGATGCAGTGGGGTCAAGCTGCAGAGAGATTTCATAGTGTTTTTTGGCCAAATTGAGATGTCCCCAGCGATGATAAAGCACAGCTGAAACAGCAAGAGATGGATTTCATTGGAAATGCTTCTGAATACCTTGAAGTATTCCCAACCACTTATAAAAAAAAAAAAAAATGACAGCACCTCTGCAAACAGTTTTCAAAAATCATTGTTTAAAATAATATTGTTTGTACCACAAACTTTATTTATCATAACCACACTCCCTGGTGATTATCCGTTTAACCATCTCCAGTTACTCCTGGGATTCTGCATATCAACAGACATGACCCATCTCCCTACAACAACATTATTACATAAAGAAGTAAAAGGAAGAGTACACTAAGGTTGCCAGGAAATTTCCAGAAAGTCAGGCTGCATAGGGCTGGGCTCCATCACTGCTCAGAGCCCTGCAGAAGTCCAGCATCTGAATAAAGATGCCCCTACATCTTTTGGCAAAATAATAGCTTGTTTGTTGCTAGCTGGAAATAAGGGCTCTAACATTAAGATCTGACCAGAGAAGGGTAACTAAAATCTAATTATTAGGATGGTAAAGCATCTGATTATTATTGTGATTTTGTAAGTAAAAGTAACTTTTTACATGGGCAGAAGGGCAACTGTTGCTGCTTCGTGATTTTCACAACGAGAAGCTACAGCGTCGGTAGAGAACAGATCTGGTAAAAACATATTCACATGTGGAGCATTCTAAACATTGACACTGTAACGCTCTAAAAATCTTAATTATTGAGATGTAAAAATGGAAGAAAGGAATTCTAAGGCATAGATTATTGTAGATGCACGTTTAGCCAAGACACGAGAGAATATAAGAACACAGAGGAGGTCAGTTATAACGGAAGGCCCACTAGGGAAGAAGGGAAAGGATGTAAATTAGACCAGAGACTTCCAAAGTACCTCTCAGTTTGACATTCTAGGATCTTTCAAAGGAAGAAAATCAAAGTAGATCATAAGAAGGGAATAAACTGAGTGGGGGATTATTGGGGTTGGTCTGGTCATACAATTATGATTTGTAAATATGACTATTATATACCTACCTTTTTAATGTGTTAATTTCTTAAAAAAAAAAAAAAACACATCTCAGAACCAGATTATAAAGGCTAATACAGGCTAGGCTTGAAAAAACCATTCTTCCAATATCGATTTTACAGAAATGCACCCATTTCTTTCAACTCACACAGAATTTCAACAGGATCCAAATGGAAAAATTTCCTTACCCAAATTGCCATGGTAACTTGCAGCATTTGGATGAGCTTTAATTGCTTTGAGGAATAAAGCTTCAGATTCCTGGAGAATGATATAAAAAATAAGGTATTACACTACGCAAAAGCCACACACAGTTTTGCTGCTTACGGTTTTCAAACTTTTAATGTCCTTGTTGTGTACCACTGTGTCCTTCTCCCAGCAACATCTGGGAAGGCCAGCGGGACCACACCCTGTTAAGAGGTTCTGAAGGGCAGGCAGGGAAGTGTGCGACAGGGAAAGGTGACAGGGTAGCAGTGAGGGGAAGATGGGGGGCGGGTGGAAAGCAGTGGGGGCAGCAGAGAGAGGGTGGATATGCTAAGGAGCTCTGTTACCCGCCTCCCAGAAAGGGATGGAATTTTGCAACTTGAAGTAAGTAGCTCTGTTCAGGGTGCAGTGAAGGATAAGCCAAAGTCAAATGGCCAGGAAAGGGCTGGGTGATTGAGGACACCCACAAAATCGTTATTTTCAGTCAGCCTCAATGAGCTCATTTCCAGGATTCTCAAGGTAGGAGCCGGGGCCAATTTAACCTCCCCCAAGAACTCACAACCCTCTCAGCAATCCATAAGTAGCCCATTCATCTGGAAAAAATAAGCAGAGAGAATGAGGGAGGGATGGCCATCTGCCATCTAAGCGGTCACAGTACTGTGTATGACCACGACCAAATGCCCCTGATGGGTGTGAACTGATTCTTGTATAGACTTGCATTTCCTCCAAATAGTGCTCATTTCCAATCGGGTTGCTATGAGGCAGGACCAAGTGTCTTCTCACCTTATCATTACTGGACCATGGCTTCCTGGATAGTCCCATTCGACCATAATACCAGGAAATAAAGATGCCTAACTGTTCTTTGCTGACACCTGCCGGGGTAGCTATTCATACCGTATACATTCGTGTTCCCGAAGGGACACACATGTGTTAGTGAGTATCAAACACTAAGCTGAAACACTGAAGTTGTTGGTTCGGGATGCGTTTGCTCCTTCTAGCTGCACCTTCTGTGAGTTTTCCAAGCGGGCTTCCCACATCTAGGATCACACATTTTATAAAGTATAGGAAGACAGATTCTTTGTCCTGAGATGGCCTGTGGTACTCCTGAGAAGCAGGCTGGGCATTTGGGCAAACATCTCTGAAACCACAACCTTTTAGAGAGAGCTGGCAGAGAAAAACTTGTATTTTGGAAATGTCATCCAAAAAGGACTGAATGAAGACATCCGGGTAACATACAAGATGTCAGCAAACATCACTTCCAGAACTCAGAGTCAGTGTCTATGTGCCAAGTTAGAGTAGCTGAAACTCCTTCAAGGTAGTGTTAAGGTTCTCCTGCCGTGTTAGGTGCATTGGAAAACACATCAAATGGATTGTATAGCTTTGTAGCTATGCTCTAAGTAGCTATGCTTTCTGATGACTTTCAAACACTACCATTTAGCTTGAGGAATAGGAAGGCCAGGGAATTTAAATCGACTTTAAAATTTCTCCTCTTTCCTTATCTTAGGCTCAGCACCCTGGCCTAGACAATTAGGATGCAAAATGTATAGAAAAATAGGAAACCCACTTCTCCGTTCTGCTCTATGGAGTATTTTCTACTTTATCTGGGGAAAAAAAGAACAATGTGAACTGGAAGCCAAATGAACCGTGGGTTCTGTCCCCTTAATAGAATTCTAGTTTATAGACTGTGGGATGATAGAAAAATCAATACAGTGGTTACATAAGCTGTATCTTGAAAATGACCAGCTGTAGCCGGTGGTCGCTGGACGCTCCAGAGCTGTCCCAGGCTGATGGAGAAGGCTGGAGAAGTCGAGAGACGGGAAAACCACAAACCTTACCTTCTTCCCCCAGCTCTACACAGGTAAACCCATAAAAAATAAAAATTAACCCCCTCAAAAACCATCCTCTGGAGCAAAAGCTAGAAATGTTAAAACATATACTGAAGCTATTAAACTCCCTGATATTTATTTTAATTTTTTAATTTTTAATTTTTTTAAACTCCCTGATATTTGAAAATGAGACGTGCATGCAATATCTTACTGTTATTGTGGAAAACTATGCTGATAATGATATCTGATGAGCAGAAGAGAAGTAAATACGTGGGACAAACATAAATTAATCACCTCCTTAGGCCTCATGTGATCAAAATCAGACATAGCTCTCGATTCCGAAAGAAAATCCTTCTGTCACGAAGGATTAAGGTCCTGCTTCTGGAAGTGTGTTTTCTGTAACATCTGCGTTAGAAACCCAGGATGCTAGTTAAAAGTGCACCATGCCTGACTTTACCCTGCCAACTGAGACAGCACCTCTTGTGGGGAGGCATCTGGGCCAGCTGCATCTAACACACTCCCTCCCTGGCTCTGACACATAAATTTAAAGTTTGAGATCACGGGTGTTAGGAACCCTGAGTCCCCTTAGGGACACAGGGCATCATGCCCCTTTTGATTCATAGTCCACTCCTGGCCAGTCCTGGGAGCCAGGTCAGAGAGAGCCCGGATCTCGTATCTTGTGGTTCCGTTGGTCAGCCTTTCCAGGGCCTTGCGGATGACCTACGACATAACTCTAGATGTGGAGAAACCTGGAGGCAGCAAGCACTAGTCCTGTATTCCCCATGGGCTGTTGTTCCTTTAGTGCAGAAACTGGCAGGCGCCAGGGTGGGGGCTGGGGCAGCTGCTAGGATGAGCTGTCACTGCCTCTTCTTTGGGGCTTCTCCTCCCCTCCCCACGTTTGCGCAACGGTAATGAACGCTGATGAGAAAGGACATGAAGTCTGACCCTGCAAATCCATCTTTTGGGCGGCTTCTCCAGAAAGCAAATTGACCAAGTCACACTGGTGCACGGCTCTCACTGTTTTGGCCTAATTCTGAATTTAACTGGGCAGAAATAACATTTATGGCTTCTGTCAGATGTTGGCATTGATCGCAAGAAATCGCGGCCTCCGGTTTACACACCTTGTATTTCTGGGACTTCCCCAGCACGTTTGCCAACGAGAACATCAGAGAGTGATCATTAGGTATTAATTCCAGTGCCTCTCTTCCAACTGCTTCAGCTTGGGCTAAATTACCTGCAAGGAAAACACAGAAACACTTAAGAAAACATGTTAACATTGTACTGGTATTTCATTCTGTCTAACAGTGCTTAATGTGCATTGTACACAATGATTAGGAATAACTCCTTAAGAAAATCAATGAAGAATGCGTAACATGGGGCGCCTGGGTGGCTCAGTCGTTAGGCGTCTGCCTTCGGCTCAGCTCGTGATCTGTCAGGGTCCTGGGATTGAGCCCCGCATCAGGCTCCCTGCTCGGCAGGAAGCCTGCTTCTCCCTCTCCCACTCCCCCTGCTTGTGTTCCCTCTCTCGCTGTGTCTCCGTCAAATAAATAAATAAAATCTTAAAAAAAAAAAAAGAATGCATAACACATGTACACATAGAGTATCTACACAACGTACATATGCACATACAACACACACATGCACGATACACCTATCCACACATACACACAAAATACACGTATATACACAACACACATACACGACGCGATCAGTTGCAAAACCACTGCAGTCCAGCACAATTCTGATATAATATACAAACAGCCTTTGATTAAATTCTGTAAAAGCACATAAAACCTAATTTAAATTTTTCCCCAGATACCAGTTACACCTAAATTGGAGAAAGCCAGTCTGTAGAATAACAGTATCCATAGTAACACTTTAATAACTGAGTATTTATCATGTTGAAGTACACATTTTATACCTTCATGAGAAGCAAGTGTGTATCTCTTTTCCACACTGCTTAGACGGCTCACTGGCTTGAAATTCTGCCAAATTAAAACTATCATTTCTTATGGGATGCTTGGATTTTCAAAAGTAGGGGAGCGGAGTAACTCCCAGTTGATGGGGCTAAGATCCTGGCTGAGAAACCACACTGTCAAGTCTGTTAGCATTATATCTCAACTAAGAATCCATGGCTCTGAGTGTAGGTTTGAGGGCATCTCCTTTAAGAAGAGTCCATGAACTGTAGAGCATGGACCTTGCATTTATTAACCCCAAAGCCATTATTGTTCACTTTTGGGTACCTCCAGCAGCCTAGACGACGGACAATGCTAGATTACAGGCTCCAGAAGAAATGAGATATTAGCGCCCATCTTCCCCTATGGCTCAGCACTAATTCTAAGTGTCATTTCCCCCAAACATACATATTTCAATATGTCAAAGGAAACTCTATTTTCTATAAGAATAATTTTTGTCATGTAAAATATTAGCCCATATTAATTTTTTTTTTAACTCATACACACTAGAGAAAAAAAGCACATATAATCTGTTTCCTACTTATCCAGTGGCATGGTACTGTGGCGTCTTGTCCTCTGATGTATGCAAGGCGCCTTTCTGTACCTGTGTTATCGAGGAGTATGATCATGTTGTTCCAAGCCAAACTGTGTTCCGGCTTCAGCACAGTCGCATTCCTCCACGCGTTCAGGGCATCCACGTGGCGGTTTAGATCTGCATACTGAAAATAAAGCACGGCCCTGAAAAATCAATATTCCAATGTCGTTGCTTCATCTAAGACATACCCAAAACCAAACCCCAAACTAAACAAAGCCTAACTAGTGCTTACTGAGCTTCTAAGTTTTCACAGTAACTCATTTGATCCTCAAAATATCTCACTGAAGTAGATAACCATCCCCATTGTACAGATGGAACAACGGAGGCACAGAGAAATTAAGTTAATTTCTCAAAGTTACATGTTGCTCAAAGTTACGTGTCTAGAAATGGTAAACAGGAATGAGCATCAGGTGGTCTAGTTCCTGAGCCTACAACCTCTTGACTGTAATTCATAATTTAGCGATTCTAGGCGTCAACTAATATTTAAGACTCCTGGAGAGACATGAATTAAAAACCTAATCATTACTCTTTTTCTAGAAAGACTTCACATAGTGTATCTTTGGTAAGGTATTATTTAAAGCGGTAAATAAAATATTTAATGTAACAGCTACATATGTCAAATTCACCTTGTGAAGGATGCTTTAGTAGGCTCTTCCTGCCTACATCTAAGCTACATACAAAGTGATGAGTGTGTCAGACATATTAGTGAAGTCCTTGGAAAAGTCTTAAGTGGCAACATGAAACCCCTTGGCGATTTTTTTTTAAAGATTTTATTTTTAAGTAATCTCTACACCCAACGTGGAGCTTGAACTCACAACCCCGAGATCAAGAGTTGCGTGCTCTACGGACTGAGCCAGCCAGGCGCCCTGCTTTGGCAATTTGAAGCCTGTTTGCCTCCTTTAGGAAGGAGAGAATTATCTGTTGCTTTCTTTTGAGAGGGCGTATTGTTTAACACTGAAAACACCACAAAATGTGGGGCTCTCAATGTGCATGGTTAATAAGAGCATTCCGAGGGAGAAAGTGATGGGTTTTTTCTAGCAGGTGATCCTCTCGCCCTCTTTAACTCAGTTCAAATGCCCATCTTATTTGAATGAACTTAGTTCCTTTACCTCTGCAAAAGCTACAAATGATAACAATTTATCCAAGTTTAAGGCAATTCCTTCCTAACTGGCAAGTCTTTTTATTAGACAACAGAAACATTTTGACTTTATGACCCACCCACCCACAGCAAACTGGTGGCATAGTAGGTAAGGAAAATAAGGGTTTAATTATGGAAAACCTATGAATATCCATTTGCTGATGATGTTGTCAGATTTCCCATGAGACTCAGAAAACTCCAGTCACAATATTTCACCCTGTAAGTAAGGAAATGATGTGAAAAGTTCAAAAAGTAAAATAATTAAGGGTGTTAATTATACCAATATTTAATTGCTTGTATCGGAGTTTCCATTGATTTCTTGGTCAAGTCTCTCTAGCGAGTGACATGCATTTGAGGCAGTTGGACAAAATCTGTGGTGACATTCTTAATACATAGGCAAACCAACAAAACTTCATTTACACAACAACAAAATTCTTCACATATTTTATTTCTTCTTCTTATTACTATTTACTGAAGAACAACAGACTGAATCAGGTAAAATTTACTGTACTTTTATTTTGTCTCAACTCTCCCCTTCTTATAGCATCTATATGAAGTGAACCAGCACTTTAAGGGAAGCAGAGAAAAATGGTGATTTGGCCAGAACTACTCACCCAGACAGGGGACAGGTAATGCACACATTATTTACCCATGAGCTCTATGCCCATCCTTCCGTACTCTGCAAAACACATTTCTCAGAGTCCTTTGCTACTTGGCTCCTTGCTAGGTTTCTGCCAGCAGGAGTCATGGGTGACATCAGATGGCTGCAAGAGGGGCCCTTTCCCTCACTCTCACACTGTCCCTCCTTCTCCTTGGCCGTGCATCTGAAGGGGCTATGTCTCCCCCTCCACTGCCAGGCTGGAAGCAGTGGTCCTCCTTCATGATTTTAGCTCTTGAGATTATGGTGGCTCCTGACATGGCAGCCCCTTTATATTCTAGTAGTGCCATTTCCTCCTGTTTGTTCATGTAACCCTACAGGGTTTCCTTATACTCTCAGAGTTAACATCATCTTTCCATTTCTGTCATCCAGCCTTCCAACAATTGTTTAAACAATTCCCTACATAGAATCTTCTCTATTTAAAATACTTAGCATGGGGGCACCTGGATGCCTCAGTCCAAAGAGCATGCGACCCCTGATCTTGGGGTTGTAAGTTTGAGCCCCAGGCTGGGTATAGAGATTACTATAAACAAACAAACAAACAAACAAACTAAATACAATACAATAATTGGCATGGTTTCTGTTTTCCTGAATGGCTCCTAACTGATACGATCAGTCATTGCATAATGAATCGTCTCTAGTTAATATCTCCAGTCACTATTACTGAAATTCTCTAATGGTAACATGTCGCAAATAATCCAGCTTTTCCCAATTTTCTATTTCACAAGGAAACTGCATTATATTCCCTTCTTATAAGGGCGCAGAATTCAAAGCACATTTCTGTCTCTCATTACTAAAGAGTGACTAAGGAGGATTTTTAAAAAGAAAAATTTATGTTACTAAGTTCATCTTATTCACCAATATATAAATGTGTTGGTTGAGCTGTTAAAGATTAAGCTCTCAGTGCTTTTAAGCTGTCAGGCAGGCAAAAGCTGGATAATTAAACAACAATGGAGAGCAAAATCTTTAAATAAGAACAGTTGGCAGAAGGGAACACAGGAAGATCATTTCATGGTAGCATAATTAGTAAACAATATACACAAAGAGTGCTACAAAGTCTAATATACTTAATACTACAGATGATCCTCTACATGAATGTGGGAATGAATTCCAAGGACTGGAGCACATGGATAAAATCCTGACTTTTACAGTCTGTTTTCTTTTCTTTGGATCCAACTCTTACAAAGGGCTTATTTAGCATAAATTCTCTATTTTCCAAACCCCAAGGAACTGCAGTGATAGGCAGTTACTAGGGGAAGGAAAAATACTGCCAAGTATTAGAGCCTTAAGTGTAACCTGGAAGACTGTAGGCAGATACATTCTGCAAACAGTAATCTAAAAAACTACCTCCAGAACAGAAGAAAAAATGGAAGAATTCATATGGATATCAACTATAATGTCGTGCAAGTCTTAGTGTACTAGACACAGTAAATAGAAACAGTCATCCCTGCAAGTGTTCAGATAATACCCAATTTGCTCCCATCCCCCATTTTCACTTCATTGACTTTGCAAGGATCCACCCTGCCTTGTATGTGATTGAAGTTTTTGGTCTCTACTTGTATCATTATGGTGAGGTTTTACTGTCTTCTCACCCTCATCCCCACAGAGAACAATACAGAGGATCAAAATATGCCATCCCAAATATACCACTCAGATGTAAGGATTATTGCACTAAAGACATTTGAGATTTGACAGATGCAGAAAGAAGCCTTCCTGGAACTTCCCTTATCTGACTAAAAGCAGAAACACAGACATAAGGACTGCCATAAATCCCCCTCTCCTGGGGACGTTTTATGGCCATGAAGAAGGACCCACACAAACCTTCGTTAGTTTCCACCCGTATTTACCTTCTGACAATGTGCCACCCTTAGAAGCCTAAAACCTCTTCCTTTCTCTTGTCACTTCTCTACGAAGTTATTGTTCTTTGTTAAGATGCTATATAAGCCCAAGTTCTAACCACCTCTTTGAGTTACTCATCACTGAGTTTTTCCCATGTGTACGCACAATGCATGTCTGGATAAACTCTTTTTTTTTTCTCTTGTTAATCTGTCTGTAGTCAGTCTAAGTTGCAGGGCCCCAAAGACAGAACGTAAGAGGGTAGAGGAAAGTTTTTTTTAATCTGCCTTCAACAGCTTCTCACTAGAATAATTTAAGCTCTCCTTGAATCTTCAGGTTTCACAGAGAAAGCTGTTTCAACATCCATGTATGTAACTAGATCGTAAGGCACAGAATTATAAAATGTAAAAAGAAACAGAAATGTGGGAAAGGCCAAGTGGCTCTAGAGAAAGTTATGTGGGACAACAGGAATTGCCTGCTATCAATTTTCCTTGTTTAAACATCTTGCTGTTACATGGATTCAGTCATATTACTGCCACCTTCCTCCAAGTCCAGGGAGAAACAATTCCTCTTTTCCACACTAGAGCATGCATATAGAGACAGTATCTTCCCAGGATACATCATACGTGAAACACGTTTTCTATTCTTTGAATAATAAACACAAAGCCACTTCACTTTAAAATTTATAACACATGCAGTACCTGCTCATTTAAAGGGACATATGCATAGTGGGAGAAGTAAAATTTCACCATCATTAGCCACACGTTCCTGTCACTTAGTTTCCTCCATTCATAAAATTCTGCCTCCACAACATGCAATATCACTGCTACCCAATCCAGAAACAAAGAAGTTTAGACCAAACACATTCCCATCATGCTAAGAACTGAAGCTTGGATTTTCAATAATCCTTAAAGCAACTCATGTTTTCTAGGCTGCCTTCCTCAAACAGTCTCTTCTGCTCTGAGCTGGTCAGTCTGTCTTCTCAGTGCTCAGATAGATCTGCTTCCCAAATGCAGGGCCAACAACAGGGTATTGGAATGACTGGAGAATTTTGTTGGTTTGTTTTGTAAATACAGATCATCTATGGGGCCTATAATTCCATAAATCTAAGATGGGGTGGGAGGACTTGGATATTCAACCAGTTTGGGGAACCACTGGTTTTGATAACACAAGGACTCCATAAAACCAAGAAGTCTCCAGACCCTTAAAGTGAGGATAAACAGGCATCTCTTTAAAACAACTTTGATGTCATCGTACCTGTGAGGCTAGGCTGGATGAAATCTGAAAAATTATATCTTAAACTTCTTTTAAAAGTCACATCATGGGCGCCTGGGTGGCTCAATTGGTTAAGTGACTGCCTTCGGCTCAGGTCATGATCCTGGAGTCCCGGGATCGAGTCCCACATCGGGCTCCCTGCTCGGTGGAGAGTCCGCTTCTCCCTCTGACCCTCCTCCCTCTCATGCTCTCTGTCTCTCATTCTCTCTCTCAAATAAATAAATAAAATCTTTAAAAAAAAAAAAAGTCACATCACTATATGTGTATTCCACATATAGTGTGGCTAAATGAGCAAAACCTTTTCCCCTTAACAATTTCATTTAATCAAACTGAATATATTAGGAACCTATGTAGTTAGTTTCTTGAAACCAAATTAAAGGCTTAACTCAAGGGAGAATATAATCATTCTTATTTAAGGAATTTTGCTGTTTGTGGATAAGTCTGTTTTCCCCCAGCCTTACAGAGATATAATTGGCGTAGAACCTTCATAAGTTTAAAGTGTACAACGTGATGATGTGATACCTGTGTATATATCACAATAAGGTTAGTTCTAACGCCTCCATCACCTCACATCATTGTGTGGCTGGTTCTTTTCTTCATTAAGAAAATCCAGAGCTGGGGCGCCTGGGTGGCTCAGTTGGTTAAGCGACTGCCTTCGGCTCAGGTCATAATCCTGGAGTCCCGGGATCGAGTCCCGCATCGGGCTCCCTGCTCGGCAGGGAGCCTGCTTCTCCCTCTGACCCTCCCCCCTCTCGTGTGCTTGCTCTCTGTCTCTCTCATTCTCTCTGTCTCAAATAAATAAAAAAAAAAAAGAAAAGAAAAGAAAATCCAGAGCTATAAGGATTGAGCTGTGCATCCTCATGGAGGTTTTTCAGAAGCAATGACAGAATCCATGTCACCACCATTTACCAATACATGCTTTCACATTTTAAGATTACTGAACTTATTGTATTAACTACTGTTGCAATATTTATTTGAATAAAGAAATAAAGTGTAAGAAAGGAAAATCAAGAGCAATTAGATCTTTAGTCAGTAACTAAGAAAAGAAAGTCACTATGGAACACACTCTTTCCTATTTCCATTGGACAATCTCAAAACGGTTTCAAATAAATCCCCCCGAGCCTTCTGTTACAGAAAGAACAGTTAGTACGAACGTCTGGAGATGCAGGGAGCGGTCTTTGGAGGAGGAAGATGGAAGCTCAGAAACCATATTATGGATTTGTTTTTTTATCTCAGCTTTTATTCGTGTTTTTGAAACAGAGAAACTGATGTTTATCAGGAAGTGACCCTCAGAGTACTGTTTTACAGAGCACAAGGGACTTAAAAAATTCGAATTTATTCCTTGGTTTAACCTGTGGCCTTGGAGAGAACTTACACTTGGCTAATTCAAGTTGAACTGCTCTCTACTTGGAGCTTAGAAAGTTACAGACGAGGAAATCAAACAGCTACCTTCAAGCGAGGAGCATATGCGAAAGAACTTTACAAGGTGCAGGGTGCTAGCGTGAGTGGTGCTTCTACCATTTTATTATAAAAAGGGAAAAACCAAGCTTTTCTTCTGCAGCCTCTGGACACTTTACACTTACCAGCCGCCCGAGGTTGTAGTAACAATCTGGGTACTTCCTTCTGTGTTTGATTGCTGTCCGGTAACTCTGCTCAGCAGCTTCAAACCGTTTCAGGCTGTTCTGAACTATGCCTAAATTCATCCACGCAGCAGCAAAGTCTGGCCTGGAAGAGCATTTTTTAAAAAGAGAAACAAGGAGAAGAAAGGCTCAAACCCCAGAATGCCGGAGCTCCTCTCTTTGCCACTGGCGTAATTCTACAAACCCATGCTTACTGTATTTGTACAGCTAATGAGAGCAGCTCTTCCGCTTCCTGTAGCTCATTCCTCTCTTTTAAGATGTTTCCAAGATTATTCATGGCATGAACATACTTGGGATTTAGTCTGCAAGCGGAGAGAGAAACCAAACCGTCTGTTAACGCTCAGTGGCCTTCACTAAACTGTCAGGAATTGGCAAAGATATCTTAAAGTTGGGGTCTTTTTTTTAATCCTCGACAGTTAAAACAAGACATGGATATGAATGAGACAAGACGCTTGCAGTACCTCACAGCTTCCCGGTAATATCTGATGGCGGCTGTCTGATTGCCTTTATCGGCCAGGTTCTTGCCAACATTGTAGTGAACCTGAAAATACAGAGACAAACTTGGCCATCAGCTGATAGGCTTCTTTGTTCGGAGCAGGGATACATATCGCAGCTTCTCATGGAAAATAAGAGCGAAAGGTAAAAAACAAAATAAAACAAATAACCCACGCCACTAGAACTTTGGCTAAATCCCTACAGAGGGCAGGCCAGGGTCATGCTTTAATCCCCCATCCTGTAAGAAAAGATGGGAAGGACAGGGTGCAACAAGCAGATGATATCACTTAGGTACAACAAAAAGATATTTACCTAAAGAAACCTTGAAAATTACAAAGTGGGATTAGTGCGTGCTCGCTTCGGCAGCACATATACAAAGTGGGATTAGTGCTAAACCCTCAGCTCCCCTCCTGCCCCATTAGGGCTGAGATGCAAAATCCAACCACACATGGCTGTGAGAGGGAGCAATGAGGATTCTGCATTTTAACAACTACAGCCCTTTCTTACAGGACACCTTTCTTCTGTAGCATTGCAAACATTCTAGTTTATGCTAATGAAATTCTCCCTCCCTCATTCCTTCAGCCCTGGCACTGCTGGAAGTTAGAGACACCGTGGCCAGCAAACCTGTCGGACCCCTGGCTCCTGAAGCCCCGGCTGTGAGTCCAATGACCCTGTTGGAAAGTGTGTCACTAGAAGGCACCCCGGGCTGTGGAGGACGGTGGGTCCCCAGGATGGCACCTGGTCCAGGCAGGGGGAGGGCTGTCCTGAGGAAGGGCCCTCCCTCCAGTGGAGATCTGCAGGGGGTCACTAGTTAAAGGGGCTGGAGTAAGCATGCCGGGCAGAGTGGGCAATGGGCAGGCTCTAGGGCTGGAGGAAGCCCAGTGTGTTTGCTTGAGCGACTACAAGATGCCCAATATCACTGGAATGCAGAGGGCAAGGGAGAGCAGGCCAGAGGGTGTGGGGAGCATGCTACACAGGGAACCCCAAGCGGTGACAGGTCTGGTTTGGTCTTTGCCAAAAGCAGAAAAGGCCAGCACAAGGTCTGTAAGTGTGTGAGTTTCCTAGGGCCGCCATAACAAAATACCACAAGCTAGGGGGAGGGATGTGTGTGTGTGGCTAAGACAACAGAAACATATTTCCTCACAGTTCTGGAGGCAAAGATTAAGGAGCAGCAAGGTTGGTTTCTACTGGAGGTTCTGAGGGAGAAAGCTTCTCTCCTGTCTTCTGATGGTCACCAGCGATCCTTGGCTTACAGCTGTTTGGCTCCAATCTCTGCCTGTCTTCACATCGCCTTCTCCCTGTGTGTCTGTGTCTCTCTTTATAAGGATACCAGTCATATCGGATTAAGGGCCCACCCTGTACCAAGGCCCCCATTCATAAGTACCAGGGGTGAGGATCTGAACATGTCCTTTTTGGGGGCACAATTCAACCTATAACAAAAGCCAGGCGTAGGAGGATGGCCAAAAGTCATAATCAGAGTTGTAACAAGTTAGTCACACTGCGGGGGCGCCTGGGTGGCTCAGTTGGTTAAGCAACTGCCTTCGGCTCAGGTCATGATCCTGGAGTCCTGGGATCGAGTCCCGCATCGGGCTCCCTGCTTGGCAGGGAGTCTGCTTCTCCTGCTGACCCTCACCCCTCTCATGCTCTCTCTCTCATTCTCTCTCTCAAATAAATAAATAAAATCTTAAAAAAAAAAAAAAGTTAGTCACACTGTGGGAAATGTGAGTGGGGAAGAAGCAGATGTCAGGGGTCCAGGGACAGCCTGAGGCTGCAGGCCCAGCAGGGAAGGGAGGACAGCAGACTGAACGAGGGTAGTGGTGAACGAGCAGAAGAACTGGAAGAACACTGTGGAAGCAAAAAGCACAGAAATTGCTGATGGATTGATAAGAGTGGGGAAGCATGTCAAGAATGAACTCGAGGTTTCTAACTTCCAGAACTGAATGGATGTGATGGCTTTGCAGGGAGATACGACAGGTTGGCTGGGCTTGCTTGGGGGGATATGCATCAGGCTGATTTTGACATCCTTGGAGAACCCAAGTAGAGAGACCAAGGTGGCCACCTGAGCTCAGGAGAGGAGCAGGCTGGGGATGCCAACGTGGCAGGAGGCTGAGGCGGTACAGCCACGGGTCCTGGGATCATGCAGAGCAAGCCAGCCAGGGGAGGAAAAGATCCTGTAAGACTTTCTTGTTTCAACCTCGCTAATCAAACTATCAGCTGGAGAAACCACCAGGGGATAATGTAGCAAAAGAAAAAGAACCAGGTGATAAAATGTTCCAGAACTAGAGAGAAGTGCGGGTCTGGCCACATTGTGAACGCTCTACGTGTCACTGACTTGTTCTCTTTAAAATAGTTAATTTAAAAAGGTATTTAATAATGATCATTTTATTCTGAAAATCAATTTTTAGTTGTGGTAAAATAAAGTTACCATTTTAACCGTTAAGAACATTGTTTTTATTTGAGCACACAATGTTTCATTAGTTTTGGGTGATTATAGTTCAGTAGGGTTGAGTGCATTCACACTGTTGTGCAACCAACCTCCAGAACTCTCCTCATCTTGCATATTTGAAAGTCTGTACCCATTCCACAGTAACTCTCCCTTTCCCCTTCTCCCTGCATCTGGCAGCTACCATTTTACTTTCTGTTTCTATGCATTTGATGACGCTAGATACCTTACAGAAGTGTAAGCACACAGTGTTTGTCTTTTTGTGACTGGCTTGTTTCACCTAGCATAATGTCCTCAAGGTTCATGCACGTTGTAGCAGGAGCCAGAATCTCCTTCCTTTTCAAGGCTGAGTAATATTCCACTGCATGCTTATACTACATTTCGTTCATCCATTCATCTGTCGATGGACAGACGCTTCGGTGCTTCCACCGTTTGGCTACTGTGAACAATGCTGCTATGAACGTGAGTGTTCACACATCTCTTTGAAATCCTGCTTTCAATTCTTTGGGGTATCTATCCAGAAGTGGAATTGCTGGGTCATGTGGTAATTATATGTTTAATTTTTTGAAGACCTAGAATGGTTAACTTTATGTTATGAGAATTTTGCCTCCATGTCAAGAAGAGAGGAAGAGAGAACAAGGAGAGCATTTTTAATGATTGAAGAGGATGGTAAAGTTGACTAGAAGAAACTGGACTCATAGTTGCAAAGCTACCAGAAATTCTCAGGTCAGCTTCACCTGAGGGCACCAGGGAGGTCGACCTATGGGCATTTTCTCAACTGTACATGGGCTCAGAAAAAGTTACAAGGAAAGGGGCTGGGACCCAAAATGACCCCGGGGCAGAACTGTAGAATCACAAGGACTATCATCAGAAGTATTTATGAGGCTTCTTTTTAGAGGCTTACGATGCTTAGGCCAATCGTAATCTCAGACGAGATGATCTCACAGAAATGTATTCAAATCGGGTGTGTTCAGCGTAGCTCCTGATAACAGTAATCCTGGTGGCTGGCGAGTGCCGAGGGTTGCCATGAGCCTGGGTGGGGCCAGCACCATATACGTATATGACTTCTCTGCATGGCGGCCCTGTCCCGTGGCTACTATCACCCACCCTCCCGAGTTGGGGGACAGCTGCAGTATCATTAAGCATCTCACCCAAAGGGGGTGGTGCTGCATTCGAAGCCAGGCTCCAAAACCTGTGTTTTTCTCACTATATCACACCCATATCCGAGGGCGCTGGCTGAGGATGGGGCCGGTTGCTTGAGGTGATTTCTAGACCCACTCATTCACGCCATCTGTTATTTTTCTTCAAGTAAATAATGTTCTTTGTTGCATGTTAATGGCTGAATTGTACCCCCACCCCCGAAATTCATCTGCTGATGTCCTGACCCCCAGCACCTCAGAATGTGACTGTATTTGGAGACAGGACCTTTAAAGAGGAAATTAAGCTAACCTGAGGCCATCGGGGTGGGCCCTGATCCTATCTGACCGGTGTCCTTGTAAGAAGAGGAGCTCTGCACACAGAGAGAGACACCAAGGTTGCCCGTGCACAGAGGACACATCAGGTGAGGACACCGTGAGGAGGCGGCCATCTGCAGGCCTCAGGAGAAGCCAACCCTGCTGACACCTTGATCTTGGACTTCTGGCCTCCAGAACTGTGAGAAGATAAATGTCTCTCATCTAAGCCCCCAGTTAATATATCATGAACTATGGTAATGGTTTAAGCACATTTCAAGTAGCATTACATCGTATACTTCAGAAACCCTTCTGAAAATATAACCACCTCCTGCCTTATCGATCTTCACCTAGAGTTACAGCTTGTCTTCAAAAATACTAGTATTTTTGGGAACATACAGGGAACAGTGCGACATTCTTTTAAGCACACAGGTACCAGAGATTTAACTGCCAATTTTAAAGTCTACACATTTATTTTTATCTAATCCGACAAAAGGAATCACAAGCAGGGGATAGAAATGTATAGTACTGAGCGGCACAGAGTGTACTTTAAACTTCCCGAACCATATTATCGTCCCTTCCTAGGCATCCGCATCTTCGGATTACAGCGAATGCCACGGGTACAGCACATGCTCTGCAAAATGTGCTCTGGACGGTTTCATTTGGTGCCTCCCCCAGCCCCAGTCTGGGTGTGCCATCTCACCTCCCGTGCCGCGCACAGAAGAACCCAAACTGGAGAATCCAACTGGTGAGCGATGCGCTTGTGGTCCCCAGAATACAAATTCAGCTTCTGCTCAACACATGACTCCAGCCTCTGCCACCCTTTTTTATGGGCAAATTCTGTTTTCTCAATAAAAAGCTCAGACAAAGAGATCAACTGCCCTCTGCAGTAGACACGGTGTTCTGTTAGACGCCCAGAAGGGCAGCAACCAGATCAGGGAGAAAGACGGAGCCCTCCGGGGGTTGAGACTGTGCTTATTTCCATGGAACCCGTTACAGATCTGATACAGCCCTAGAAGGCAAGCTGTCCGTAATTAAGAACCGAGATAAACAGGCTCACCCAGAGGCCGGCCTCATCCTATGGGTTATAGGGAGGGAAGTATCTGAATGGAAAACAGCTGTCTAGATAACCCATTGTAAACAAACCAACCCCCAAACCCTCATAAACCCTCGTAAGTTCCCTTATAACAGCATTTAAAGAATGAATGATTTTGTTCCCATACAATGGAAGAGACTGAAAAACCCTGTTTATTCTTGAACTTTCCCTCTAGCCTTTGTGATTCATATGCTGAGGCATCAAACCAGCACAGACACTGCAGACAAAACGACCACCATTGTAGCCCCATGGCACGGACGTCAACAATGGAAGGTGCGTTAGCACCAGAGCTAAAGCCGGTTTGTTTCAAATTCTCTGCTCCCGGGCGCCTGCGTGGCTCAGTTGGTTAAGTGACTGCCTTCAGCTCAGGTCATGATCCTGGAGTCCCGGGATCGAGTCCCGCATCGGGCTCCCGGCTCGGCGGGGAGCCTGCTTCTGCCTCTGACCCTCCCCCCTCTCATGTGCTCTCTCATTCTCTCTCTCGCAAAAAAATAAAAATAAAAAATTCTCTGCTCCCATTTGATGTTAAAATGTTTTACACACAAAAATAATCTTATAAACCATTCTGGCTCATCCTTAACGAAATACCTCATTGGGGTATTTGATCCTCTTCCTTGTTAAAAGAACTTAGAATTGTTATCTCAGAGTTGATCCAAAGTGGCACATACTTTAAGCTTTAACAATGAAAAGTGACTGTAAATATAATTAAATACTTGGTATCTCATCCACTGTAGGCTAAAGGAATTTAATTTCCACGCTGCTCAGTTCCATCACTAATACTGAGTGCCCACCATCTGCAAGGCAGTGTGGGTGATCCCACCGTTGACCGGGCACTGGCACCATAATCTTTTGAAAAAGATGAGTCTCAGCTGTAAATCTGAGCCTAATCTAGAGCCAGGTGCCAAATACTTACTTAGTAGTCAATGAATATAAAGTGGAAGCCAATACAGAAAATGTATTTCCTGCAACAGAGCTGAATGAGACCAGTGTCTTCCTAAATGAGGTCTCTTCCCTGAAATGAGCCTTGCTTTTTTCCAAGAAGAAGAAAAAAAGGAAGTAAAGATGATTTAATTATACTGCAATTTATATTGGAAAGGAAAACAAACAAACAAAAACAAAAACAAAAAACCCCAAGATTCTATCTTGCTCATAGGTAACACTGAAAAAGATTCTTAGAAAGGACTATCACCACTGGGTCCATTTTGAAGATGAGGTCTTGTATGTATGTCTTAAATTTTTTTTTAAAGACTTTATTTATTTATCTGGGAGAGAGAGAGAGTGAGTGGGAGGGAGAGGGAGAGAGAATCTGAAGCAGACTCCCTACAGAGCACAGAACCCAATGCAGGGCTCCATCCCAGGGCCGCGAGATCATGACCTGAGTCGAAACCAAGAGTTGGACGCTTAACCAATTGAGCCACCCAGGCGTCCCATGTATGTCTTACATTTAAAAAAGAAAACTACACATGCAGACATATGGTTGTGTGTGTGTCCATGTGTGCACACCTTGTGTTTTCTATCCTATAACATAAGAAATCACTTCCTAAGGCAGACCTATAGGCTCAAACATCACATATGTCACCCCTCCCCCTCACTTACTGGGCAGCACATCATACCAGGTCTCTACCTACCACCGGAATTACTCATCTAGATAATATCAGTTCCATCCTTCTATGCCTCAGTTTCTCCCATTTGGAAAAATAAAGAAAACCCTCTCTCTCAAAACCTTAGAGGGAGGATAATAGAGATTAATTATAGAGCCTCTACAAAGAAATCGGAGTTCCTTGTGGGAAAGCACTATATAAATAGAAGGGATAATTACTGCTATTCAAACAGAAAAGCAAAAATAAAGCAGATCTATTAACATTTATGAAATTAAATCACAGGCAATTTATTTTTAGTAGCATAAAATAAATGGATACGTCAGCAAATCAAATTAAGAATCAAAGCTTGAAGTAATTCACTCTTTTATCTAAGTCTCTTAACTATAAAACATGAACAAGATCTTTTTTTTTTTAATCCAAGAAAAAGACAAACAAGGAGTTAGCACTTTTTATACTATTCTTTACTTCAGGATCACAATAAGATGCCAACTATTCATTAGATTTATTCAAATAATTTTGCCTGAAATCACTTCTTTCTCTTAAATATAGGATATGGAAATGAGAGAGAACTCCAGAGAGCTCTTTTTCTCCCCCTAGAGGATCACATTGAAGCATCCTAGGAACTCCTATTTTGATGACCTGAGAGAGAATATATCATTATTTAGCAGTAATCTATACCAATAGAAAATTCTTCTAACCAAACCCCTTGGCCTCCTATTTTGAGCAAGTAGAATTCTCTTCTTGCCATTTAACAAGAAAACCAAAACCAAAATGAGCCCCAGAAAGCTAACATTTCTTGAGCACCTACTACGTTCTAACTACCATATTAGGGCTCTTTGGATGCCATCTTTCTTTCTTTTTTTTTTTTTTTTAAAGATTTTATTTATTTATTTGAGACCGAGAGAATGAGAGGGAGGAGGGTCAGAGGGAGAAGCAGACTCCCCGCCAAGCAGGGAGCCCGATGCGGGACTCGATCCCAGGACTCCAGGATCATGACCTGAGCCGAAGGCAGTCGCTTAACCAACTGAGCCACCCAGGCGTCCCTGGATGCCATCTTTCTTTAAGGCCTCACAATAAGCCCGAGAGACAGACGTTATCTCCCTTCTATAGATAAGGGCACTGAAAGTTCAAAACAGTTTAGTTTTGCCCCAAAAGGCACAGCGGGTTAAATGAAGAGATTGGATTCATCGAGAATACAAGTGACACAAATTCCTACCAGCCGGCTTCAATGAAAACATTGCCAATTTTGAAGTCTACACGTTTATTTTTACCTAATCTGATGAAAGGAATCGCAAGCCGAGAAACCACAGGTGAGAGCAGTGTGTACTATGAAACACCAGACGGCATAATTTAAACTTCCTGAACCAAAGCGCTGCCCATTCGTAAGTGGTGTCGTCTTCAAGTTACAGATTGGCGGAGGACTTAATCCCGTGACCCGAGCACAGGTTCCGAGGTGTGCTCTGAAAGGACTGACTCTGCCCCTCCCCCAGCCGCACTCGGATGTGTGTGGTTACCGCCCTGCCACCATTTCAAAGGGCGGTTGCGTGGACCAACTGAAGACGAGCCAAACCTCATCTCAGTAATCCGAAGTTTCACTGACATTGTCTGGTTGTAATGATTTCTTTTGAATTATTTTGGCCCAGTGGAATTGTAGTAAGTTTTATCAAGATCATTAATAAAACCAAAGGAAAAAACCAAGTATTTGGTCATGGTCTTATGCTAGATTCTGTGTGAAGGTAAACATTTCTCTTACTCAGCTGTTGAACTGAAGTCTTTCTAAAGAAACATGGCAGCCAACATACCTTGGCATTGAGAGGACACACAGACAGGGCGCTTCGAAAAAGCTCTTCTTCATTCCGCCACTCGCCACAGCGAATCATGCACCTCAGTATGTTTATGAATAAGATTCCCAGTACGACACCAGCAATCAATTTCTTAGGAATAGAGAGATACAGTAGGTGTCATTAGGAAGATCCGTCCATTCGTCTTGGTTATGAATGGCACCACTCTGGGCCAATACCTTTTTCTTAGTGTGTTTACTGAGAGCTCCAAATCCGAAAGTCAGCAGCAGGCAGTACCCAGCACTGGGGAGGTAGAGGACTCTCTCTGCAACCACGAAGCCCACTCGGAAGAACAAGTTACTTGCAGGAAGAAATGGGATAATGAGAAATCCCAGGCCCAGTGTAAGGATCCTGGAAAATGAGAAGTCATTGAAATGGCTATTCTCAGACCTTTAAAAAAAAATTCCTACTCAACATTAAAATAGTGATAAAAGCCCCCTTTCTTTCACGTCATCAGTTGAGGAAAGGTATCAGCAGTAGCAAAGAAATGTCATCAGTAGGGCCTAGGGCTTAGCCTGGCAGTATTAGGATAAGTCATAAAATCGCACTAACACCAAATGCAGGGATAAGACTTGTAAGTTGTCCCGTCCATATGAGTAAGGTTAGAATGATTACATTTTGTGAGATCTTATTAATTCGCCTACTCTTAACCCCACCTTAAACCATGTAGCGTTGAATAGATCAGTGGGTATATTAGTGCAATATAGTTTTCATGGGGAAAAAAACCGCCCCCGCCGCCCCCAACCTTACCAGGAATAATAATACTTGACTTTATAAACTTTATAAAATCTGCAATAAATGAAATCATTTTGGGGAGCTACATCACCGCAAATGTTAGTCAAGCAAAAAGAAAGCTGAACAACAAAGCACTTGTGGAACGAGGCAACATGTCCAGTGTTCCATGTGACATAAGAACAATTAAGAAGCCAGGTGAAATTTGGTGGCTCGTCAGTTAAGCGTCTGCCTTTGGCTCAGGTCGTGATCCTGGGGTCCTGGGATCGAGCCCTGCCTAGGGGTCCCTGCTCAGAGGGAAGCCTCCTTCTCTCTCAACCCGTCCCCCTGCTCATGCTCTGCCCTCCCCCACACGTGCGTGGTCTCTCTCTCAAATAAATCAATAAAATATTTTAAAAAATACTATTGCACGTGTATAAGCGAACTGGGACTAAAGTTAGTTGCCCTTTAGAATTATGAACCAATGTAATAGATAAACTTAAAACCTTATTTATTTTGAGAAATTACTAATCTAATTCCGTAAGCACTTACGCTTAAAGGGAATCAATCACCTTAAATAGTTTTCGTTCTCATGAAACACATTTGCTTTTCCCCAATTATTTTCTCAATAACCCTCTTTTTCTCTTCTTTTTTCGTTTTTTTTTTTTTTTTGGCAAGAAAGAATGGTCTCTTTGGGGCAGCAGTTTATTTTCTACGGAACAACAGAAGGACTCGCTAGGGCATCCACCAGGGCTTTCTGAAGGAGAACCGTGAAACAACGGGCACGGCACACATCAATTACACTCTCTGTTCTGACCATAAATTACTCTTTACCACCTACCTCGAAAAGGATCTCAAGATGCTACTTCGTGGGGCCTGCGGGAGCGGGGGAGAGAGCAGTCATCTGTCCCCCTCCTCCAAGGCCACTCCCCACCAGCTGAAGCCGGCAATGGATTCCAAAGGGACGGAACTCATCCTCGCCGGCAATATGTACGGGAAATAAATGTCCTTGGACCCTACTTCCGCCAAACTGTTAAAATGATCAGTGCTGGCTTGAGCGAGCAGCTCTGACTCGATCCCGTGTGGAAGTTAAAATTCAGTGCTGCCTCTTACCTTCTTTTGTGGCCGTCTTCAGAACACAGGGCTTGGCATAGCAGGCCAATTAGGCACAACCAGAGAGCGGCTGGTGCCGTTACCCTCCAGTCGCCGACGGACTTAATGAGGGGGACACAGCCCATTGACCAATCAAAACACAGCCACCAGGGACACAGCAGCAGCCAAGCGTTCAGTGAATAGTAGTAATTATAGTTTATGGCCTGTCAGTCAAAAGGAAAACAAACATGTACTTGATACAGAACTTCTACATGTGTATGTAATACACACACACACACACACACACACACCTTGAAGTTTCACTTTTGAGGCATCCATAGGCTTCCATTCACAGAGAGCAGTTGTGTAAAATAAAATATTACCAATTTTGATAGTGGACACGAGGCCATCGTTTGCAACTTATTAAATGCGTTCAGAATGCAATAGACAAAAATACAGCGAAGCCACCAGACTCTGCTATATACGTCCGTTATATTTCTGGTCGAAGTATGTCCCATTTACTTAGTGATGCCCAAAGTCTGTGACCCAGGAAATCTGAGGCCCGGGGGTCACCTATGCGTCTCACAATATTAAGAACAGGGCTTTCCCTTCTTTTGATTTCTGTCTCTATGAAATGCACAGCTGAGACTCTGTGGCTTGACACCCTCGCCTTCAGAAAAAGCGAACCTTTACAATAAAGGGAATCTTGATACTGCTGGACGTTTGAAGATATGTAACCGATGTGGTTGTATTTTGTCTTAATCCCGCTATATCAGTTTTCTTTACAACAAAAGTAATGGGGTCAGGGGACACTTTAGTGAGGCTAGCAGGGAACCTGATGTTTGAAAGAACCATTGCTCTTTAATTTTGTTTCGAATGGAAATGCAAAGGGCTTACACCCTCTCCATCCCCTAATAAAACTCGGGTCTCATCCTAGAATATCCTTAGTGAGAGCAAACAAATGTGGAGGTGTTCCGCCAATGGGGGATTTTGTGGGTGTGCTGGGAAGCGAGAAGTGGAGGACAAAGATGGTGGGATTTGGTGGGCAGAGAAGACAATCCAGCGGGGGACAGGCTCAGCACTCACCCTGACCAACATGCTGTCGGCAAAGGAGGCGGGGTTGTCCACCTCGGTGAACGCGGGCGGGCCGGTGCCCATGATTTTCCAGCGCACGTAGAGCATCCCTGCGCCCCCCAAGGCCAGCAGGGTCATTCTGAAGAGGAGGCCCCCGTTCCTGAGCACGCCAAAGTTCTGAAAGGACAACGCCAAGCCCCTGATGGCGCAGATTTTCAAAAGAGAAGTGCAGCCAAGCTAGGTACAAACGTACAACAATTCTGCCAGAACTACACGGACACGGTAGCTTAAAAGGGCCAGCTACTTCAAGATTCAAAACCGCAAGAAATATTTTGAAAATGGCATTTTAAATCAGCTGGTACTTGACATTTTCCATGTCTGGGCTGGAGACAAAAGTCTATACTCACCTCTAATGACTTGTCTTTATGTAGTATCTTCTGGACCATTTCCAGAACATTTAATTTGCCTATCACCAAGATGTCAAAGACTGCATTCAAACCCTGAGGAAGCAAAGCAAGGCAATCAGTAACGGGAGAGCCTCGCTCTGATTAGGCAGCAATTATACTTCACAGTTTTATTACTGAATCTCGACAAGAACTGCAGTGGATAAGATAATCACGGAAGGAGTTTTCATCTCTAAAACAGACACCCCACTATTGTTCCTATAAAATCAGCTCATGGTAATATCTCAAATTTATTATCTAGTAAATCCCTCTTGGTCATAATTTCAGAGTCTGCCTAGAAGAGTATTTAAAGATTCAGGATGGCTGGACATTTGGGGTTCCCAGAAGAAGTTCTGCAGAGGTCCCTCTTCCCTTGTTTTTCCTTTACTATAGAACAGTCTCTTAGTTGATGTGACAGAGGGGTTACCTGCACCATAATTATGCCTCAGAAGAGAAAGGCAGCCATCAAACTCGACAACCCACCCACGTAAATAATTAATCGCACCCCCAGAGCGCCAAGTGCGTGCCGACTTCAGCAAGTGCAGTAACAGCAGGGGCATGACATACAAAATAATCTCTGAGAGGGCTTCAGAGATCTCTCAGGTTCGGACTCCTAGCCCGTCTGCTGGTTTTCAGTTCTTGCTGGGCACACAGCCAGACCGCACTTCCCAGCCAGTCCTGCAGTTACAAGTGGTCATATGACTGAGTTCCAGCCTCCGGAATGTGGGTAGAAGTGATGACGCACCATTTTGGAGGTTTGGTTATAATCTGGGCACTCCCCGCCTCTTGGTGTCGCCTTGCAGCTGGCTGGGATGGACACCACTGGGTCAACTTTGGAAACTACACTCCCAAGATGGCAGCTAGGTGAGCCTTGGATTCCCTTCTCTCGCGGCAGGCAACGTCATCTTGTGGAACTCCCTGCCCCATCTAGATAATGTGGTCACAATACATATGGCGTATATGGTTAAAGTTCCCCCTAAATGACCCTAACCTTTTTAATGTGAGGCTTTGTGGTGAAGAAGATCAGAAATCATCAGAAGCCAGTGGTAACTGGTGGCTTCCAGAGCAAGGATGACATCCCTACTTAACCCTCTCCCATAAATGCTAGAAGCCATTAATTATCCAATACACAGGCCAGTGCTGGGTTAATTATGTCAAAGAATTCTGATTTCATCAACTCAGGCGGTACAGGATTTTAGTGGGTCACAGCAGACCATTTCTGCCCGGGTGTAAACCATTTTCTAGAAGGCAGAAGCTCCCTGTTGAGCCGCTGCTGTCTTATACCATTTGTTTTTCTCCCCAAGGAATGAGGGGATCTTGTCATCACTTCTGTTTGGCACTCTCCAACTTCCCATTTAAATGCATTATCAAAATGTCCACATTCTAATCACATTTTTGGAAATAGCTGAATTTTACCATATCTTTAGTTACATAAATTCAACCTAGTTCTTTAGCGCTTTTCAAACATTAACGGGAGCCACCTTGGACCTTGTTAAATGGAGATTTTGACCCAGCAGGCCTGGGGGTGGGGTTGGAGGTCCTAAATTTCCAATAAGCTCCCAGATGGTGTTGATGCTGCTGGTCTTTGAGAAGCAAGGGTTTAGAGCAGTGGATGGTTTTGCCACGTGGGGGATGCTTGACAATGTCTAGAGACATTTTAAGTTGTCACAACCAAGGGAGTCCTATTGGCATTTAGAGGGTAGAGGCCAGGGGTGTTGCTTAACATGCTACGATGCACAGGACAGCCCTCCCATAAGAAAGAGTGATCTAGCCCAAATGTCAGTAATGCCAAGATTGAGAAACATGGGCTTAGAACTTAAAAAAAAAAAAAAAAAAAAAAAAAAAAACTCACGAACTTCAAGTATCTTTGCATAATAATTCTTACTATGCCATTTTTAGCTATCTAATCTTAATCTTATAGACTGAGCCTGATAAAACCATGGATCTTTGCTTTGAGTTACATCAAACCCCATAAAGCTTTATCTGCTTTTTCTTTCCCAAGCTATTCCTATATGGGCCATTCAAATCCCGTATCTTTGTTTTCCATTTCTCTACCCCTAATCACAGCCCTAATTTCTAAATTTTCCTCTAATAAAGTCAAGCATAAAATTGGCTAGAAAGAAAAAAAGGAAAGTGGATTTCAATGCCTCTCCCTCCCTGGGGCCTCAATTCTGATTAGACATAGGAGGTGTACATCTGTACTCTTCAGAGGCTCCTCCTTTCCTCTTTGATATTTCCAGTCGAAGCTGAGCACAACATACACTCAATGCTTCTCTAACCAGGACCAGAAGCATGGATGGGGTCAGCCCACTGTTGTATTTAGAACTGCCGAAACAGGAGAGCACCGCAGAAAACTTAAATTGTTCTTTCCTCTTTTTCTACAGCACCTCTCCATGAGAGCTAATCACTGCCTTTTTTTTTTTTTTAAGATTTATTTATGGGAGAGAGAGAGAGAAAGAGAGCAAGAGCACACAAGTGGGAGGAGCAGAGAGAGAGAGAATCTCAAGGAGATTCCTTACTGAGCTCAGAGCCCGATGCAGGGCTCAATCTCACCACCCTGAGATCATGACCCAAACCAAAACCAAGAGTTCGACACTTAACTGACTGAGCCACCCAGGCGCCCCAGGAGCTAATCACTCTTTTTTTTTTTTTTTATTCAATTAGCCAACATATAGTATATCATTAGTTTCAGAGGTAGTGTTCAATAATTCATCAGTTGCATATAACACCCCGTGCTCATCACATCGCGTGCCCTCTTTAATACCCATCACCCGGCTGCCCCATCCCCCACCCACCTCCCTTCCGCAACCCTCAGTTTGCTTCCCAGAGTCAAGAGTCTCTTGTGGTCTGCCTCCCTCTCTGATTTCTTCCCATTCAGTTCTCTCTCCCTTCCCCTATGATCTTCTGCACGATTTCTTATATTCCACGTATGAACTTCCCACTGCTTGCTAAAGATCATCAACTGAGACAGCCCATTTCCATGCAACATCAGATGTACTGAAAGCACAAGTAACTGGCGGAAGGGTCTATGACAGGCTTGCAATGGGGCTGGGAAACAGGCCGGGCCAGCCCAGGACATCTCTACCGCAGGGGAAGAAAGGGCAGTCCTGACAGCATCTCGGGTCTTACCAGCACGGTGATCCCTTGCTCTTTGCACAGCATGGCCACTGCTCCCAGAAGGATACTCAGCAACACCCAGAACGTAGAATGTGTTCCCTCCTTGTTACCTGCTGATTAAGAGAAATGACAAACATAAAAGCCATGCGATACAGCTCAGGCTTCTTAGCACCAGGAACTACAATTCTAAGCATGCACCTTAAAATAGCCACAGTTTAAAAAGAGTTTGGTCTCCTGATAGCACTTCTCTGTGGGCAAGTGTATTACGTTCCGCATTTCTGGTTAGACAGCACCTTCTAAATGATATACACATCCAGCCTCAAGGCAGACTCTGGCAGGTGCCCAGAGCCTTTGGGAGGCATTTCAGTGAAGCCCTGGGCACAGAGCTAGCTCACAGCAGGCTCGCAATGGGGCAAATTCCTTCGTCCCAACCTGCCAGGCACTTAAGAGGCCACTGTGACAAGCGGTACTGAGACTTGCCCCTGCAAATGTAAGCACTGCATCTGGTCACAGGCTGACCCCAGCAGCGACTGCTGTTCCCGGCACAGGGGGGATGGCATTGGCCGAGTGGCCCCGAGAAACCCTACGACCGCCCACAGAGGAGTCCAGGGAAAGGCGCAGGCCAGGCTGCACTGCTGACCTGCATGGGGACCCAAGCCAAAACATCCCTATGGATGTGAACTCTGTAGTACGAAGCCTGGGGTGAGACTGAGCTCAAGTCACCACCAAAAGTCCCTGAACTGCCTTCTGGAAAGGGAGGGTTGGGCTCCATACTGTTTCATGGGAGGTATTTGCACTTTGGGGGCCAGAGCTGAACTGCTTGAAAGGAGAGGAAAGGCCACAAGTGGTGCTCATCTCTGTTCTTCCTTTGGAAGGCCCTCACCTCCTCATCCACACGGACGGTAAACAAACATTTAAAAAAGACATCGGTAAGAATAAAAAAAAAAAAAAAAGACATCGGTTTGAAATAGGGCAAAGTGCACCTGCTTGGAGAGCCAAACCATTAGCTTGCCTGGGCTGCCTATGCATCTTGGTTCAGTTCTGATGAAAACTGAATTCCACATTCTAGCTCTGCCGTTTACTACGTGACCCTGAGCAAATTACTTACACTCACAGTCTCAATGACCTCATCTATAAAATGGAAGCAACATGACCTACCTACTGGTATATTTGAGAGGGGAAAAGTGAACTACCTGGCCATTTGTGTTAAAAATTATATAAACATTCTTGTAAATGCAAATCATATCTGGAAAGCATACAAGAAACCAACTACAGTAGTTTCTGAACAGTTCTAAGAAGAAAATTTTGGGCAGCGGAGGGAGAAAGTCTTACTTTGCGTTGTATAGCCTTTCACGTATCCTTTACTTTTTTTCTTTTAAAACTATGTGCCTGTTCGGCAGCATCTCTAGCTTCTAGCCCTTAGATGCCAGCAGTACTCCTAGCCCTCAGTGGTGACAACCAAAAATGTCACAGGCTTTGCCAAATGTCCCTGGGAGGAGGGGGACAGAAATCACCTGCAGTTGGTTGGGACCACTGCCCCGAACCAGCGGTACTGACAATGGGTGGTCTGTGCACCTGCCCTTGGATCCTGTTAGTCATGCAGAGTCTCAGGCGCCACCCACACCTGTGCAATCAGAAACGCGACGGTGGAGCCCATTTGGCCTTTTAACCAGGCTTCCAGGTGCTTCTGATGCTCGCGAAAGGTTGGAGAGCATCACCCTAAAAAAGCAGCTTGCTCCCAGCCACATCCCTGGGGCCATGTGTGGCTTGTAGGAGCAGCTCAGACTTCTGCTGTTGGGATCCATGACACCTGACTGACTCTGGAAAGGCAACATGTGGTTGGTGAATGAAATTGCCGTCCGCTGTCTGCCAGAAAGGGGCCATAAGTTAACAAATGGTAGGGCCACCATGCAGGAATAGCAGCAGTGCCTCAGAAGTTGTGCAGACCATCTCCCTTGCACAAGTGATGGAAGTGTTGGAAGTGCTGGCATCCTTTCCAAGACGCTTCCAGCAGGAGCCACATGGCCTTGACTTCAAGACCTTCAGGGATGGGGATGAACTTTCTGCAAGAGCCCATTTCGGTTGGAAACTGTGGGTTGTTGGAATATTTTTTCTTAAGGTGAGCCCACACCTGCCTCCCTCGATGTCAGGTCTTGGCTCTGCTCTCCTTTAGCACCTTTCCAATTGTTCAGGAGGCACCGTGCCTGGGAGCCAACTTCTCATTACTGAAAACCATTCTAGAGGAGTATAGAGTCTCATCAAGCCAGCGAAGGGTCATTTCACTTGCAGAAATTAATGACATTCCATGGATGTGAAACCGAAAGAATACAATTACGAGCCAAAAGAACCAACCCCCTTAAACTAATGTGTATTTGAGTGTTTACATATTTATGGGAACTTACTATTTTTGGGGGGGATTTGCTAGTGATCATCAGCAAACAGCATCAAAGCAGATGCCATCCCAGATACCAAAGCTTTTACATAAAATCATGGCCAAAATAACCCTAAAGCTAACACCCTGGTTAGCTCCTTTTGAATGATGATTTTAGGAAAGGCCTCGCAAGTTTCGCCGCACAGCCCAGGGGTCCAGCTGGCTGAATGGAGGTGACCACAGGTCACAATGCGCCATGCCTTCTGACATGTGATGGCGATGGATGGCAGATGCCACCCTTAAGGCTTGTCCTCTCCATGCTGGTGGACATATGGTCCATTGAGCGTTTCTCCCATCACACGTCTTCCTGAGTCTGTATCAAACCACTCTCAGGATTTTCTCATGTTAGCAGTTGGTTGGTAAATAGGTACCTTTACTTATAAATGAACTCATGTACTACTGGGGGGGGGGTTTCCTCCACAGATAAAGGGAGTAAATGACCCCCAGCCTGGCTCCCATGTCCCTCAGGGAGGCCCCTCACAACAGGATCTACTCCAGGCCAGAGTGGGAGATGTGCTGTGGGCCCCAGCCTCTGCCTGCCCCTTCCACATCCACGAAGCATTAGGTGTGGTGATTCACTAGGAACCAGATGGACCTCTCCCCTACTGCCTGGATTGGGTTTTTCTAAGCTTCCTGATTCCCACAATCTGTGCTTGGAACTCTTCATGAAACATAACAGGACTTCCCAATATAATGCTCCCTGTTCTTAACATGTAAAGAAGGTCCCTTGGGGCGCCTGCCTGGCTCAGTCGTAGAGCATGCAACTCTTGATCTCGGGGTTGTGAGTTCAAGCCCCACACTGGGTACGGAACTTACTTTAAAAAAAAATTTAAGAAAGAAGGTCCCTTAATCATTTTACATTCCCTCCTAGAAAAACTGAATTAGCTTGTATTTTACTTGACTGTGTAACCTGGATGAATTTCCCCCCACCATGGACCAGTGGCTTTGGATAGGAAAAAAAACCCCAGGCCCTCCATTAAAACACCCAAAGGACGGCTCTTAAAGCACTCCATTAACACAAAGTTAAATTAGTACAGAAATGTGGAAGTAATGGGCTCATGTTCCACTTGCCTGGAATTTAAAATGGTTTTCTCCTTAGATGGCTAAATCAGAGATTTCAGTGAATACAGAAAAATAACTTATATAGAAAACACAGCTTTCAGATTTACTGATAATCTTCTCCCTAAGCTCACCCCATAATTTCATCACACTTCTCAAATCCCAAATTTCAGCAAGGGACCTGGACACCCCACACCTCTCAAACCCTCTATCATGATTCTTTTGGAAGAGTACCACTCTGTAATTATCTCTTATACTTTTGATTTTGTGCAGACATGTCTGGTAAAAGACGTGTGCGAGCGAGTATTTCCTTGCTGAAGAAATTTCTTCAGTTACAGTGATGATTAAATATTATGCCACTTCTCAACAGTGGCATTTTCTTTTTTATTTATTTATTTATTTATTATTTATTTATTTATTTTAAAGATTTTATTTATTTATTTGAGAGAGAGAATGAGAGACAGAGAGCATGAGAGGGAGGAAGGTCAGAGGGAGGAGCAGACTCCCTGCCGAGCAGGGAGCCCGATGCGGGACTCGATCCCGGGACTCCAGGATCATGACCTGAGCCGAAGGCAGTCGCCTAACCAACTGAGCCACCCAGGCGCCCCAACAGTGGCAATTTCTGATCAAAGGCAAAATTTCAGTCGTCAGTTACAAAACCCAGTGATGGCCTCACATTCAGAAAACCGAATTCAATTCCGCCACTGTCCAGAGGAGTAGGCATTCTAGCTGATGAGCGCCTGAAATCTATCTAGTCCCTAGTGAGATGTGTTGTAAGTATAAAATACATACCTGATTTGGAAGACTCGGTATGAAAAAAAGGAATATAAAATATTTCATAATTTTTATACTGATTATTACATATTGAAATTATCATATTTTTGATATATTTGGCTAAAAGTGTAGTTAAAATTCATTTAACCTGTGTCTTTTTATAATGCGGCTACTAGACATTTAAAAATTACATGCATGGGGGCGCCTGGGTGACTCAGTCATTGGGCATCTGCCTTCGGCTCGGGTCATGGTCCCAGGGTTCTGGGATCAAGCCCCACATCGGGCTCCCTGCTCAGCGGGGAACCTGCTTCTCCCTCTCCCACTCCCCCTGCTTGGGTTCCCTCTCTCGCTGTGTCTCTCTGTCAAATAAATAAATAAAAATCTAAAAAAAAAAAAAATTACAAGCATGGCTCATGCTGTTTTTCTTACTGTCTATACCATGTGCTCAGAGACCCAGTTCACAGATGAAATGATCTGCATGTGGCTTTGTTTGTATTCCAAGCCTTCGAAAGCTCAGAAAATATGAAGTGAGTTTGCCTGTTTAAATCCTTCTCCTGCAACTCTACCAGATTAGCCACCTCACATTACTGGGAGTCGTAAGATTAGGCACACACAAACACTTCACTTTTTCCAGAATTCAAACAGGAAAGCTTAATTTAACTGTTTTTCAATGATTTCATATAAATCAAAGGGGTCCTCTTTACAAATGTGTGGTATGCATGTGCATGATAAACCAAGGCCAATGTACATAATAGCACTGACAGTATTTCCAGTACAGGGATGGTCAAGAAAGGCCTTGTAAAAATTAAATACTCAACGGGGAAACTGGTTCTGAGCCCAGCCTGGTAG